AGGGTGGTAGGGTGTCGAGAAGAAGTGTTTGATGTGGTGTTCCTCGCAGAATGACTCCAGCTTCCTCCCTTCAAATTGTTTGCCATTATCGGTGATGATTGAGTTTGGTACCCCGAAACGGCATACGATGGACTTCCATAGGAAATCTATCATTTTCTGTTCTGTTATGGTAGCAAGCGGCTCGGCTTCCGCCCACTTTGTGAAATAATCCACAGCGACCACCGCGTATTTCACCCCGCCTTTTCCGGTAAGGAGGGGGCCGATCAGGTCGACACCCCATCTGGCGAATGGCCACGGGCTGAGGATCGATTTTAAGGGTTGCGACGGTTGGATGATGTTGGGTGCAAAGGTTTGACATTTCGCGCACCTCCGGGCTACGTCAAGGGCGTCCTTCTTTAAACTCGGCCAGTAGTAGCCCTGTCTAAGGACCTTGTGTGCGAGGGCGTAACCTCCTGAGTGGTTTCCGCATATGCCTTCGTGGATTTCTTTAAGTATGTACTCGGCGCTCCTTTCATCTACGCATTTGAGCAAAGGCGCCGAGAAGCCCCGTTTGAATAGTTCTCCGGCTACCATCCTAAACCGGGCTGCTCGGGTGCGAAGCTGCCTGGCTTCTTTTGGGTCCGGCGGCAGCACACCGGCTTCGAGGTACGAACGGATTGGAACCATCCAGCCCGGATCTTGATTTTCCACCCCCTGCTCAGCACTTAGCACAGAGGCGCCGGACACGGAGGGCTGCTCCTTGTGCCCGACTTGGACATATTCGACACTTTCCACCCCGGCACTTGAGGCGAGGCGGGCCAGGGCGTCGGCTTGTACGTTCTCGGTTCGAGGAATGTGTTCTATTTTTGCCCGGATTCTGGCTAGCTTCTTCTTCACCAACCCCAGGTACGGGACCAATCTTGGTTCCTTTACTTCGAACTCCCCGGTTATCTGTATGACCATTAACATGGAATCTGAGTATATGATGAGGTCGGTTAGACTCATAGCTTCTGCCAAGGCGAGCCCGGATAACAATGACTCATATTCGGCTTCATTGTTAGTTGCCGGGAAGAGGTATTGTATTGAGTGGCAAAAGAGCTTCTTGTGGGGATCCACGAGGACGACTCCCCCGCCTGCTCGTCCGGCAGTGGAGGATCCATCTACGTACATCACCCAAGGTTGCTCACTCGTTTCTCTGAGTCCCGGTGTGAATTCGGCTATGAAGTCCGATAGTACCTGCCCCTTCATTGCTGTTCGGGGTCGGTAATGGATGTCGTATTGCCCCAGCTCCACTGCCCACTTCACCATTCGACCTGAAGTGTCTGGTCGGTGAAGGATTTGCCTCAGCGGGTAGGCGGTGAGCACTGTTATGGAATATTCGAGGAAGTACGGTCTTAATTTCCGCGCGGCAATCACTAAGGCGAATGCAAGTTTTTCCATCGGCGGGTACCTCAGCTCGGCATCGTGAAGTGCCTTGCTGACGTAGTAGACGGGGTGTTGGGAAAACCCGTCCTCTCGGATGAGGGCGGCGCTGACCGCCACGTCGGAAACTCCCAAGTAA